GGCCTGGCTCTGCCTTGCATGGTTTCCACCCAGAGGAGCTGTGTTTCTCTGGCTCTCTGAGCCACTCCAAGCACCACCATTCGGCAAACAGCAGAACAAAAATAGCTTCTCTCCAGGGGCTGCAACAGGGCTGCTCGACTCAGCTGTGTTCTGCTCCGCTCTGCTGCGTGAACCCAGGGCTGATCTCGGAGCAAGGACTGCAGAAGCTCCTCCAGCCATCTTAGGTAGGCGCTGCCCCCCACCCTGAGCCACACTAAGGGGGTGTCACAGGGTAAGCCTGGATCAGCTTCAGTGTCTATGGAGCCACAGCTGTAGCCCCTCTCCTTTGAGAACTGGGAAGGGGAAAGACGGACGGGGACCAGGGGTGGAGAAGGGAGAGGTGCCTGGGCTGGGGCACTCGGAAGCACAAGCAGGTTTCTCCTCCCTAGGTGCCGCAGACAACCTGCCAGCCAGGTCCTCTGGGGCTTCCCAGCTCAGGCAGGAGCTCTGCCACGGTTGTCTGCCTGCTGTAGGGGCTTGGGAGGGGGAGCACCAGAGCTGTCAGACCTGCTCACTGAGAGAGGTACCAAGACTGTGAGCTCCGTCTCCACGGGTAAAGCAGCACAGCGCAGGAGCTGGCTGGCCAGCCGCTGCCAGGGAGACGGCCCTTTTCCCTGCCTGTCTCTGCCAGTGCAGACAGACCATGGCACAGCAAGTGAGCTATTAAAGAACAGCTCCAGCCAGCCAGCAAACGCGTGCCCATTCATCATTCTGGAGCAGGCAGGGGAATGTGCCAGCTGCTTTCACCCAGGACCTCTCACAGAGCCCATGCCCAATAGCTCAGCAGCCTGGAGGGGAGCTGGGATCAGAGTAGGGGGCCCAGGACCCTCCAAAATGCCTTTTCACATGCTGGGAGAGCTGCCCTGCCCCAGGCTGGGAGCTTGTGCATTTCTGAGCCACAGACCCAGCATGGCAGCATCATGCAGAGACAACCTGGAGAGCTCGTGAGGGTTGGCATGGGCTTCACCGAGGCCTGACCTGCCCCCACGTTCCCACCTGCCCCAGGCAGGCAGAGCTACACAGCCCTGTGCAGTGGGAGGCTCAACTCGGGGGGCAGCAGAGTGGGAGACAGCCTGCCAGGCACCCGCAGGGAACCATGGGGTTCCTGCAGGTCAACGCTAGCTCTTTAGAGCCTTTGCACAGGACTGCCTGGTTTTACCCCTGCTTGTCTCCCCTGGTGCTGCTGTCTCCCTGCCAGTCTCCATCCCTGGAGCCCAGCCAGCTGTGCTGGGTACCAGAGTGCTCCAACTCCCCATCTGAAACACCCCTGATTCAGGACAGGGATACCCTTACACAGCCCAAATTAGGGGCCTAGATAAAAAAAAAAAAAAAACAAACATCCCTTTGTTGGTGCCAGCAGGTAGCTGAAGTATGCGTTGTCCTGGCTAGAGTGACTGTTAGTAGCAGGGGATCCGTGTAAGCCAACAGTGTCCCAGCAAAGTGACACCACCAGCAGCTGAAGATCTGGCAATGGGCAGGAGCCTCAGAGCAGCCTTGAGATTGACCATGCCTGGAGCCCTACTCCATTCCTCTCTTGCTTCAAGGGCATGGCATTCCAGCTGCCTGGGCTGGCAACCCCAATTCCCTGGGGAAGGGAAATGCTGCTCTCCTCTCCTGCTTTGTGCCTTTCCCTGCCAACTGACCATTTACAACCGAGACCTAAAGGAAGAGCCAAGCAGAGACGGCCCCAAGGACATAGCTTGTGCTATATCATTGCCTGCCAGCCTCAGGGCTGGAGCCTGAAGAGTAAAACTGAAGAGGGGGGAAAAAAAGATCCTCCTCTTTCACATGGAAGAGTGGCTGCCTCCCAAGTAAGCTGCAAAGCTGCTTCTTTACCTGCATAAGAAACATCCTGCTGTTGTTGTAGGGCCTGGGTAATTCCCTAGTGCTTGCAGGAAGCCCTTGCCGCTGCCCGCAGCGCTGGCTTGGGGAAGGACTAGGGGCTCACTCACCTCCTCTACCCCAAAGCCGCTCCTACGGCAGGGCACAGGCAGCTGCCGGCAAGAAGGGAGTAACAATCTCTGGAGCTCTTCTGCTGCTTATAGCCAAGGCCTCAAGCTGCATCACTGAACAGCCATGGCTGGATTTTTAAACAGGCTTCAGCCAAATCTCCCCTCCTGGGAGCGGCAGGAGATACACACACACTGAGCTGTGCGGTGCTGGTAACTGCAAGCACAGCTGTGGGAGGCAGGGGAGATCTCCAGCCCCATCCTCTGCATATAAGGCTGCAAAGCTCAGCTCATCGCTACCGAATACAAATAGCCCTTCTTAATGAGTTCGGGGAAGCCAATTTGGGAGAGCTCACAGAGGGCGGGGGCTGCTTCATGTGTTTCAGATGAAGCAATCTGAGAGCAATTTTATTCCAGCAGGAGCAAGCAGCATGCAGGAAGGTCTCTGCTTCCTCACCTGCAAAATTCAGCTGTGGGTTTCTGATGAGACCGTGTTTGCACACTAGAAAATCAGTCCATCCTCAAACATGCAAAGAGAGCAAAGACCACAAGCTCCTTCCCATCCCCTCCCTAGGGCTCCTCCATCTTCTCAGCTAGGTTGAAGCCGGCTCTGTATATCTAAAGGTGCTGACCTAATCTTCATCAGGATTCTTGTCCTGATTTTCTTCCTATATTTGTACCCCTTTGCCAAATCCTCCTGGTTAGTTCAGCCCAGCCTAAGCTGGCCTTGGGTAGGTGATACTGGCCCACATCCACTTTGATTCTGGCCACTCCCAAAGCAAACCTCTGTGTCTGGGGGTCTCTGTGCACATGTGCATGTTCTTTGCAGATCGCGCTGTGGCCTCCTGCAAGGAAACAGCAGGACATGGCTGGCCACAGAGCAGGATATGTGGGAATGGGACTTTGCCCCTCTTCCCTGCCATGGCACAGAGGGCACAGCCTCTGCCCTGCCACCAGATGTGGCATGTCAGCCCCAGGCATCGGGAGGCCCGGCTGGAAGTCTGAAACCCAGCTCTGAGCCTGCGCTTTCGTTGCAAACACCTCCAGCATCGGCAGTGCAGAAGGAAGCGGGGGGGGGCTGGCTTAGCTCCTCCCGGTTGATAATTCATTACCGTCTGTTAGCCCGGATCCATCCGGCAGCAGCTACATCCTGGCACCGACATGTGTTCATTTCACACATAAAACGCTGTATCAAAATACATCATTGAGACATTCTCCCTGAAACCTTTCCCAGCTGCCTCTCCCGGCGCTTTACATGCAGGAGCAGTCCCGGCAATGGGGGTGTTTTGTTCATAATGGATGCCTGGCACACGCCGTAGCAATCAGAGCTGCAGGATCCATCCTCCAGCTCATGAGAAATACAGGGGGATCTTCCTGCAAGCGGCAGGGAGGCAGCAAGCAGAGGGTGCAGGTTTTGTCCATGGTGTGCTCGGATCTGGAGAGGGAGAAGCAGCCTGTGTGCACATGGCTGGTTTATCGCACACCGTTTTGCAATGATGCAGAAGTGCAGCATCTCTTCCCTCCTCCCCTGAGGGCTCTGGGAGCCCTGGGCAGCAGGGCTGGCGGGTCTCGCCTTGGGGACCTGGAGGAGGCCCCTTCCCCTTCCTCCAGGGTCCCTGACTTTGGCCTGATGCTGCTGACTGTCAGCGTGGTGGTGGTAAATCTCCCTTCCAGGGCTGAGCAGGAAGAGCCAGGGCGGGTGGGGGACCCAACGGGGTGCTCCCCCCAGCCTGGGTGCTTCCTGACTCCCTACCGAGCCGTGTTCAGCGTCGGGCTGGTTCTCACGAGAGCTGGAGCTCTCCCACCAAGCCTAGGCCCTTCATGGAGGCCGCGTGTCGAGTCACAACCAGCCCTTCCCCAGCCCCAAGCCTTCTCCAGCTGCCCCCCCAGCAGATGCTCACAGTCTTCCTGACCTTCGCCCCTCCTCATCCTCCCCTCTGGCATTTCCCAGGGCTCTTCCTCCCCACTGTGTCCCCCTAGCGCCATTTGGGGGGGGGGGGGGGGGGGGGCGTGTGTGCGGGGGGGGGGATGGCCC